CCATCATCCATCCATCCATCATCCATCCATCCATCATCCATCCATCCATCCATCCATCTAAAGTGAGTGGAGATAAATGGTTGTGAATTGAATCATAAATAAAGATTTGTCCATCAAGCACGGCTGAATGAAGCTGCTTCTGACTGAATCTGGGTACACACCTCGTGCATGTAGGGGTCTACCAGGATTTCAAAGGGCCCCACAGCCAGGGAGATGTTGGGGGCCGCAGTGGGGATGGGGAGGACGTAGTGGAAGGTCTTCTTCCTCATGTCGTGGGTGTAGATGGTCTCCATCAGGTCCCCACAGGACACGGCCACCATGGATGCATCCACAGTGAACTCCAGCTTCCAGGTACACAGCTCCGAATAGGAGTCCACACAGGGGAACCAGAACCTGGGGGAGGAGGAGACACGGTGAGGGCAGGAGACTGTGGGACATGGAAACATTGCAGGATGTGCTTCAACTTCCCGTCTCACCTGGTGGAGTTCTGGTATCCAAAGGAGAAGACGTGGGCCCCCCTCTCCGCCATGCTGCCTTCTACATCAGGAACAACAAAGTGGAGCCCCCCTTTGGGCTGGTCCAGGGAGAACTCGATGTAAACCTTCAGCACCTTCAGATCTGGACACAGGCAGGAACAACCTCAGATAGCCCCCAGAGTGGGAGCGGCGGTGCCGCCAGCCTGACCTGCTGCAGGTCATGTTGAAGGCAGTGGAGCCATGGTCTCACCGTCTCCCTGCTTCCAGAGCTCAGAGGGAACTTTGATCACCAGTTCTCCGTTCCCAGCATCCGGGTCCACTGCACTGACCGCCGCCGTGTAGGCACTGGAGAAGTAGTTCAGGTTCCGCCTGTTCACACACAGAGCAGGCGGAGCTTAAAGCAGCTCCTTCTACACCTGAGGTCAAACTGAGGAGATGACCTCCTCCTCCTCTGGCTCCTCCCATTGCTCCAACACAGCCAGAAACTACCAACTACCTCCGCCATCTCTGATGCGTTTGGTTCTGTTGGTCCAACCATCAAAGAAAGCACAGCTAATAACCAGCCAGAAGCCCCGCCCCCTCAGCCACAGGGCTGCTTCTACTCACTGCTTGGACTCGCTGTGGCACACCTCCAGGGTGGGGTCATTGTAGATGAACGGTGCCTCCAGCTCGTTGACTCTCACCCTGTAGATGCGGCACTGTTTGCTGTTGAGCTTGATCCGGTTCAGGTTGACCACAGTGGGGAAGATGGTCAGCTCCACGTAGCCCTGCAAGATGGAGGACAGCAGGTCACAGCCACAGCTTCACCAGACCTGAGGTCTTCTTCATCTGCTCAGCTAGAAGCTGGGGAATATTCCTCTGGAGGATGTAGTGATGACCTCTCTGTATCACAGATCTCCACCTCAGTGGATCAGAGGTGGTTGCCCTAACCCTAGGCAACAGGAAGTGCCTATCATCATGGCGTTAGGCAACAGGAAGAGCCTACCAACATATTGATAGGCAACAGGAAGTGCCTACCAACATATTGATAGGCAACAGGAAGTGCCTATCATCATGGCGTTAGGCAACAGGAAGAGCCTACGACCATGATCTACTGACTATTATCTATCATCTCCATTATCTTTATTTTTCTAGAAGAGTTCTCTATGTTCAGAACTCTGCTGAATAAATCAGAAAATGAAGCATGGTGATTGGCTGTAAGGAGGGCGGAGCCAGAGGACACTGAAAACCTGCTGCTGACCAGGCTGAGAATGTTACTATGGTAACAGAAAGAGGAAACTGTGAAAGTTTTTAGAAAGGTTTCCAGATTCCAGGTTTAGAACAGTTTTCAATAACAGACCTATAATGTTTTAGCTCTTTGTTTATCTAGGATGATATTTATATTGTTGTTTATTGTTGTTTATTGTTGCTTGTTTGCTTATCTTTCAAATCAGTCAGTCCTTTATTCAAAACCCTTTGTTGGATAAAAAAAAAGATCAGTGGGATCGTTAGGACTGTTTGTATTAATTTATCCTTCAACCATCCCTTCTGTCTGGGATGTTTCCTGTTGGAAGATCAGATGGTCCCAGAGGAGAGGAGCTACTCACAATGACAGACTTCCTCTGGAAGTTGATGTTGTTGATGCACACCACCTGGTGGGTCGTAGAGACATTAAACAGAAGCCAGTTAGATCATCAGCCTGAAGGTTCAGACTGGTTACAACATCAACAGCCAGAAAAATACTCATAATTTAAAAGGCCGAGGGCTCTCAAATCCTTTGTCTTTCTTCCGGTTCATCTTTGCTGCCTGTTGTTGGAGAGTTAAGGTCATCAACATCCGCGATGTTCCTCCTCATGGAGAGCTGACAGCTATCCGCCGAGCTGAGGCTGCTCTCTCATACGGCGGGGAGGTCGCTACTGCTGCTAGCCGCTGCTGCTGCTAGCTGCTGCTAGCCGCTGCTGCTGCTAGCCGCTACTGCTGCTAGCCGCTGCTCCCTGCTAGCCGCTGCTCCCTGCTAGCCGCTGCTCCCTGCAGCCGCCGTGGTCTCCCCTCGGTCCGTGTTCAGTGTTTGCCCTCAAACTGCCCAGAGAAGCGCTGAACTCCGGCCGGAGGACAGCAGGTCGGTCCACACACTGCTCCAGGGAGCAGAAATCGGATGCTAACAGCGATGTAGCTGCGGCTCTTCCGCCATTTTGCTTTTAACAAGCATTAACAGTTATTTTTTAAACCACTTGCACAATCCGGAAATCTTACAATCAAAATAAATGCATGATAAATAAGCATCAAAAGTATAACTTATTATTATTAATAGCAGCGGTACAAAATAAAGCCCGGTAAAAACAGGAACTGCGTCAAAAGGGGCGGAGCCTAAACAGGACAAGGAAGTCTTCTTCTTCTTCT